CGTACGCGGACTTTAGTCTCAAACACATTTAGTGTGTAGAATATGAAGATGCCATTACTAAGCCATGTATCTGACCATTACCAAAAAATTTTCGTTTTCATGTGACCACTACTGAATTGAAATTGTGGTTTAGAAATAAATTAATACAAAAAGAAGAAATTCAAAATTTGTTATTTGAGGCAAGAAATATATTCAGAAAGAGTTATATTAAACGCTCTTTGAGTTGCACATAACATATTTGAGGGGAGAATTGTAAGGAAGGAAAAAATCCTATAACCATGGTCACATTTGGTGCTTTTATCTATCATAATAAAATAAAAGTGCTTTGACGCATATGTTAGGTGTACTGTAACACTGCGAGGTAAAATCCAATAGATTATTCGTACTACAATGCCACCTTGGGGGTTACAAGACGTAACATTTATGCAAGGACGCATACTCCGGAGGAAGCACGAAAAGTGGTCACTGTACTAGATTGTTTAAAAAATCTAAAAATGTTGACATTTTTGGTTATTAGTTTTATTTAAATACCTAGGGTTTCCTGAACAATAACTTAATTTAAGATGAAATCTATACAGAAAATGTTTTTATGTGTATTTATTTATGTCTGCACCAGCCGCAATCGCTGGCGAATTTGCACAGTTTTAAATAAGCATAACTAGAACTAATTTGTCTAAAAGGCTGTGATTTTTATCTCTTTTTGTAAAGAAGCTTCATGACTGAGATCAAGCACCATCAGTGTACTGTATTTTGATATTTGTATGCATTTTGCAAATTTTAGCGCGTTGTTAGTTGTGTTTCTTGTTTTTTTGTACAATTTTATTACTTTCAAGCTTGTTTGTGAAAAAAATTGACAAAAATGTTTTTCTGAAAACATTCCAAATATTATTTTGAAGTTAATACAGTAGGTTGTTACATAGACAGTTAAAATATGGGAAAAGATAGCATCTGGGTTGGCACAATCTGACGTTCGAGAAATAACGTCGAAATGCCTCCAATTTGAATTATAAATTTTCAGTGCAGCACACCATATGCTCTGTAAAACGGTAATTAACGATGTCTTACCATAAAGTTGTGTTTAGGGCCTTAATTATAAAGTTGAAACGGCATTATGGTTTGAAGAAGATATGTACGTACGTTTCCTGACAGTTTGCGTAAGGACACATATGTCTAACAATGGCAGCCAATTGTTCTTTCGTGCCACAGAAGAACGTTTCCTTTTTAATATGCCATTTTCTTTCGCCCAACAGAACCTGATTTGAAAAGCAAAACATGGGAAGATACACTGACAGACTGTGAAAAATAAAAATATTTACGGCATTAAATTGAGTTTTTTGATTATCGTTTTCAACACTAATATTCGTGGTATAGGTGAAAAGGACCATTCTCAAGGCATTCTGTAGGTTGAAATTAATGAAATCTGGAAAGTGGATCCTCAAATTATAATGGCAGTAATGATGACTCTCCTGTTTGTACGTAAGAATGAGTTGAAACACCAGGATGCTTCACAGAATGGTTTAGACTCTCCTCAAATTCTCTCTTAAAACGCTGTAGAAGCACTTCCTAAGAAGTTAAGAACCTTCCCCTACAGAAATCCCGTCGATTGGAGATTGACTTGGTACTTATCATCTTCAGTCCTAAATGGGAGTTGGTAATAACACCTTTCTTTGAAGGTCCGATGGAGAATCCACTTCTGCCATCAGCTGAGACTGCCTTCCCTCGCCGTGCCCCGCCCTCGCATTTCGGCCAGCAGCTGCTTCCAACGGCTCAGCGCAGGAATTACTCTTGAAAAGGTTGCCCCCCACCCCCACCCTCGGGAAGCTCGCCGCCATTTTCGACTCGTGAATCGTGGCGCGAATGGAAGGGGGGAGGGAGCGAGCGAAGATCTTCTATACCCCGGCGCTGCACAGTGGTTCCAATTGGACCGAAAGGTTTTTTAGCAAACAAACAAATACAGGATGTCAGGGAAGGAAACGTTGAGACTTCGCATATAAGCTCTTAAGACAATTCAAAGCATATTTTGTCTAATGAACTACTTGGATATTCCGAATGGTTGAGACGCATTAAGTACTAAAAATTTTGTTTTGAAATAATGCTTTCTTGGCAAAAAGTTTCACTGCAGAAGCATCGAAACACTCTAAAAACATGTAAATTATTTATTATTTACAGAGGAAATGAATGCATTTGTTCAGAAAGCAAAATTCACACAAATAAAAAAAGACCCAATTTACACAATTCGACTGCTTTTTTATTTCTAGGTTAATTTTGCTTTCTGAACTAAAATATTTCTTTCTTTTGTTAATATTAAATAATTACATGTTCCACATTACACAAAATATGCTAAAAATTGTCTTAAATGCTTATTTGCAAAGTTTCGACGTTTCCTCCCGCGACATTGTATTTGTTTGTTTGGATGTATAGACATCAATATCAGTAAAGTGCATTTTTCATCAAAATAAATAAAAAAAGGCATATTAAAAAAGCATGTAAGTGTAAGTGTGTATACGTAGGGAGGTGAGGATGAGACAAAGGATAGAAAGGAAAGATCGCGCGCGGTCCGTGACCTGTTTATTAGGGTACTGCTCCGGCATTCGCCTGGTGTTGATCGAAGAAATCACGGAAAACTCTCGATCAGAGCAGCCGGGCGCTAGAATTCTCCTCCAGACATCGACTGAATTCGACCTAGCAGATCAGCTAATGTCGAAAATCCTGTCACTGTCGGGACTCTAACCTTGGACCTCCCGGACAGACATACTACTACAGTGACATCAGTGGATGCCCTGAGCCACCTCTCCCAGTAAAAAAAGTAGAAATATTGGGTGAATATTGTTTCCTAGGATCACATGCTGCATTATGCTCAGAACGCTTTGGATATGCAATTCGGAGCCAGTGGGGGGTCGCCGCCACGCCTCCGCACGGAAAAAGCTATTCCAGAAAGCAAATGGACTTCGCTGCCAGGCGCCGCCGGCCGCTCGTATGGACCAGCGGATGTTCCACACATAAGAAACGAAGGAGAGTCTGGCGGAGAAAACGCTAGTTGACGTGAACACATTCGCGATCAAACAATGGGACAAAGCATTAAAATAAAACACATTGTGCAAAATGCCAACGGACTAAACATGATGTTCCGGAAAACAGATGGGAGATAAAAACTGCGCACGATAAGTGAAGTCTCAAAGGGAAGGCTCGTATCTCTTACAAAGTAACCTATCTAGTTTGGCATTTATCTTACTCGACTAATCTTTATATTCTTTTGTAAAATTATTTCGTATATATTTTTATTTTGGCAAATTTACACTGGCCATTTGATTATTTATTCAAAAACATCATCTCGACTTCGTGCAGACACAAACAGAGTTTTAGCAGCAATTTGAACGCTACTCCGACATGCCAATATTTTTTCCTTTATGCAGGAACCAGGATGAAACGTTATGTATGCAGCTCGTATTGCTCTTTTATTTTACGTATCTAAAAATGTTTCGTTTTGTGATTGGCTTTTCTGTGAGAGAAATAGATTTCCTGCGGGAACTCCGGGAGGGAAGAGAACGGAGCACGTGTTTATACCATGATTGCCAAAGACTGCAGGTCATCAAGCACACTACACGGTTCAAGTAGACATGGTGTATTCCACTTCCAGAACACGCTTACAAATATAGAAGGCGTTCGTGAATCAACGACTAAGAGACTTGGGAATGCCACTGAGGTTGAACGCGACTCCTTCAGCCTCGCGATGCGAGTAAATACGAGTGCGTTGAGTAAATACGTTTTGTGGTGTAAGTAGAGGATGAAAGGGAGCGACGAAAGATTCTTGAGGGATGTTCCACATTCTCTTCCCAAAAGACCTTAAAGTTATTACTCGTCTCCGTTGTTTAAACACCTTTGTGGGACTTTGAGCTTCATGGAATGAAAATTGAAGAGCTCTTCAATGACATCAACGTGGATTGCCTTTCAGTTAGGGTTCATGGATTTGAAATAGATCCAGTACTGTATAGGAGACTATTCTGAAATGTGCTAATGGAGCTTGGGACGTGATATCAACAAAATGTTTTCTTAATCTATGCATTGTTGTTTTTTTATAATGTAGATAGTGAAAAAATATTAAAATCAAGATAATAATATATGCTAAATAATAATATAGTGTAGTCTATTAAAGAAAAATTGGATCCTTACAAAACAGTTTTTGACAACATTCATAATGAAACGCTACTTACTCTTAAGATCCACTAGAGTATCGTTTATTCAACCTTCGTTTGTTCCAAATTACGAGTCATGACACGTATTATTTGCATAGTATTCGCATCCGCATTTTGTTCCTCGCGACTGTAACATGTTAAATAACGTTAAAGAATTTTCAAAACAACACAAGGCTGACTTTTGTGTGTTTAGATTTAAGTTTTCTGTTGCTTTGTTGTAAAAAAAGTGCACTTTCATATAATAAAAACTAAGCATGTTGAGAATATGAAAGAATAAGAATATCAAACTTCTTAAAAAAGAATTAAGAATATGAAACAAAGAATTAAGCGTATAAAACTTCTGAAAATGTAGTCGTTGAATCCAGTGTTGTTTACAGAATGCGTGCTTAATGAATGATACTAGAACTTCATTCAGCACTTGGCACAAAACCACCTAATTTAATTTAAAACCGGAAATCCGCAATATATTTTCTAGAAAAAAAATTTAACTACGAGATTTTTGAAACTAGAGTTTAAATAATTGGCGTCAGTATGTACTATGAACAACATAATGGGAAATTACAATCCTCATCACCACTTTGTAAAAATCACATAATACTAGGATAGATATTTGGAAGACCTCTAAACCTCTTTTGCTGCAAAAATAAAAACGTGTCCTCGACTGCTGCTGCTATTATAAACCTACAGATGACGTGCCATTAACTTTGGTCGAAGTCGCCTCGGGCAGAAGTCTACTAAGAGAAATCTGTCTTGGCGGCGGCGTGTGGCCAGGGAGCCATATGGTAGCATGCTGCTAGTGGAACTCACCTGTCGAGCGAGATGGCAACGAGGGTGAAGACGCTGGCGGCCACTGTCACGTTGGCCACGAAGTTGTTGATGGAGCAGTACACGGGCCCGAACGGCCAGTCCGAATTCAGCATGAAGACGAAGTTGAAGACGCAGTTGAGAAGCGCCATCAGTAAGTCGGAGAGCGACAGGTTCACCAGGAAGTAGTTGGTGACGGTGCGCATACGGCGATGAGCTGGAACACACCAAGTCGACGTCAGCATTTTGGCGCGTTCGTAAAACCATTAAACATTATTGTGAGTATTATATTTTTCGACTTTAAAAGTCGTATATAAATAAGAGAGTCATAAGATTGCTCATGTGCAGCGATCTAGCTTCGCGTGATGCAATCCCGGGTTCAATTCCCTTCGGGGCGAAAATACAGTTGAGTTTGCTTTTCTTTAAAATCGTCTCAGTTTTTGAAGCTGACGAAGAAAAGCTTGAAGCGTTGGAATTAAACTAGGCCAGGGGGGATCCAGGTAGCTAGACGACAAAGTCGGACAATTGACCTAAAATGCCAGATACATACATGTAAATAAGATTATAAGTGTTGGACTCAGAAAAATAATTATGGCAAGAAGAAATGACGGGGAACATAACAAATCTCAAAATGAAATTTGGTTTTAAGACATTTATCTTTACTATAATACATGTAATCCGACCGTATTTCCGACCGTCTTTAATTTACGAACAGAGAGTTTCAGAGACAACTGAAGGGGCTCCCAGTATCATGAGAACTCATCATTCTTTTGCGTATCTATCCACAAGAATCTAAGAAACTTAAAAAAAACTTATCGATGGGGGTAAAGAATTAAAACGCATTTTAAACGAACGTAAGCCACCTATAGATGCGATCAATAGCTCATTTACTCGACAAGAAAATCGATTGTTACTAGTACGAAGTTGTACGATTGTTACTAGTTCGTATTAGCCCTTATTCGTATTAGCCTTTCCCTCTTGGATACTCTAGACGAATTGTTCGAAATCAAGTTTTTTTGTGGTTTTAATGCACATACGGATACTCGTATATTTGTGAAAATCTGTAAGTCATTATATTTCCTTCTCAGCATAAAAATACTCAGGTACATACAATCCTCATTGAAATTAAAAGACAAAACTATCTAATCGATTAAATCTAAACAATAGAAATGTGTTAATAAACTTATAAACATAACCTATATTTGCCAAGAAAGTGTTAGATATAATAAAAATTGCCCTATGAAAGTCTGTACACTATTCTAGACTTCATTTCTTCACCTGATGTTCAGTATAGGTTGGCAACATTTTTTCACGATTTCAAGTTTCTAGCGAGAATATTGAAATTAAAATATTGAATAAGAAATTGAAATTTTTCTCTACAATGTTGATAAATAAATATAATCACCCTTTGTGAGATATGACATGCGTTCTATTTATTATTCAATATCTCTTTTCAATTTAAATTATTTTTTATTTCTCAAAGGAGAAAATGATACTCGAAGAAAGACACAATCTTCCTCACCAATTTGTTCTTCACAATAGAGTAACTTGTGAACTGACGGTAGACAGACATTAGAAATTGGGATATTAGTACTACGGCCTTTTGTGGGTTGAAAGTATTTCTTGAAGGTTTTAATAAATCCTATTCTTCCTTTCTGAATTCCTCAGACGGCCAATATTCTTGTTGAATAACGAGTTGCTCACATTTTTTTAATGGTTCTCTCCCCAGATATTATATAACCATTTCATTTCTCGTTTATAAGTAAAATTAAGATTTTGAGACGGCGCGGGAAGGATTTCACTTTTCATTTCCTGGCGTGTAGCAAATCCATTTCTCTTCTGAATGCCAACAGAAAATGGAAGATGAACGTTTCGTTCTCGTTGATGCCTCTTGGCTGGCGCTTGTCAGAATAGGTCCTCACTATCTTGCATTTCGAGCCAAATTTTGACGTCACAATAAAACTGTTGGTAATGAGATTCTAATAGAGTTTGTTAGAATCCAATCTGAGATGACACGAATACTGTAATTCTCGTTATAACTGACATTTAACTGGTCGATTTAGCTCACACTCAGTAATGCCACTGTCTCTGAACCGACTCTGAACCGGCGGTCGTAGATTTCCAGTTTGATAGTGGCGATTTTTCGATAGTAGCTACAAGGCGATTGTGGCGACACCGACGCTTTAAACTATTTTAAAAATATTTTTAAATGTTAAAAATTTGTACTATGCAAATTTTAAATAAGAAGAAACTTTAAACATACAATTGTTTCATATTTTCCTCTTCGAATATAGTGCGTAACAATCTATATAGAATTAAAATTAAATAATTAAAAAATACAAAATATTTGAGACTTTAGTTTCATTAGAGAATGTGTTAAAGGATAAGTAGAACTGACTAAATGTTTTCATGAGAATAATTCTCTTAGAGACGTGTGTAGTCTTTTCTTGCTTGATTATTTTGCATTTGTCTCAGTAATTATGACACAACTCTCAAACACCTTGGGAGATTTTCATAGGTTGTGGCAAGTTATAAACATCGCACAAAATAATTTACCCAAAATTCTAACTAATTTTTATTTCAGGGTTCGAAGAACAGCCAAATGTATTTTATGAAACTGGAAACTTGTCAACTTCCCTCAGAGGACATGTTATTAGTAGCAGCATTGGATGAGCACCACCAGAAATAACAGGGGTATTATTGGCAATAGAACGCCATTGGCGGCGGGCTGAGTGCGGTGTCGAGGCGATGTGTTTCCAGAGAGGCAGGTGACCGGATGGACGCCCTGCGCCCTGGCTACTGTCAACACATCGATCACCCCTTTCCACATGCTTTCCCCGCCGCTGTGCCTACCCGCAGTCGCCTGTGCCACCGCCATCACCGCTATCACCACCAACAACAAGACCGTGAACACTACCATCACCACCAATTCCACCAGCACCGTCACCACCCGCATCGTCATCATCAGCACCGACTTCACCACTGTCTGTGCGCAACAACCCCCGACACCTACAACACCATTGCCGATACAGACACCCTTGTTACCGCCTCCATACCACCATCACGTCCTCTCTACCTCCACCAATTACCACCACCACCACCACCTCGCCAACATCATTAACACGGCGGTTTCCGCCTCCACTCCCGCCACCGCTTCCACCTCGACCGCAGCCGCTGACAGACAGTGGACACTTCCGCCGCCGCCGCCACCCGCGCCCCTGCCTACAACGCTGCCGGCCGCGTGCCAGCTGTTTGCGCACAACCGCTGCGCCACGCCAACGTCGGCGCCCTCGGCCCGGGCGGAAGGAGGCAACAGATTGGGGCGGAAGAGCAGAAAAGAAGAGAGTGAAGAGTCGAGCGCGATGTTTAACTCTGAATCACAAGGGGGCTCCCCTCCACTTGGGGAAAAGCTTGAACTTTCTCCTGCGATATTTTCTGCTTACGCAGTCTGCGCGTAAAACTGTTTAAGGGTTCTTTCGTCATTCAATTTTCTGTTAGCGAAATGGAGTGTAATGTGACGTGTTTCTGATAAATGGACTCGAAAAAGTTAATCTAGATTTGAAATCTACTTTTTTCCCATCTTGTGTTCGTAACGGTGGGAAATACAGTGTGAACGTCAATTGAACAAAGTGTAAAATGACCTGTAAAAATACCACGTTTTTAGGGATTTTTTCGGATGAGAAAGGTCTTTGTGGAACATGTAGTTCGACTATCTAATCCTTTCTTAATGATACCTACGTTGAGAATACAATATATCATCATACATTAGGGATGAACACAGATATTCAGAAATGTTTGGTTATAACACCAAAGAAAATGTTTGAATTCAAAATCACTATACAAATATTAACAGTATATAGAATGGTACAGGCTTTTTCATACTATTTAGCATGCAAATCTCTTGAAACATAGCAACCGTTTAATGTTTCCTCACCCTCTTCCGAGTTGCTTCCGAGTTGATACCCGTCACATTATTTCACGATTATCTTCCTTGGTAACAATTGTCTGTACATAAATAAGGAAGCCTTTCTCTTAGAAATTATTAAAAATTACGAGAAATCTATTTCGCATAGATCTGAGAACCTTTCATTCGTTTTGTAACAGCTTCTCAAGCATCCTGTTATTTGTCGACAAGTACCTATTTGGTCTGCTTGCTAGACATTGTGTTACAAGATGACTATGGTATATGTAAGATGACTATGGTATGTATAAGATAATTTGTTGAGAACATATTTTTAGAAAAATGGAAATAAAGAATAAGTTATAGGAATGTAAATAAAAGTAATGGAACGTGCAGAAAAAAAGCCAACACTCTTTGAATGTATACGAGGAATATGGATTTTATTTAAGAAAGATTATGGGATAATTTTGCAAAAGTGCATTCCTACTCATGGAAGATCACTCCAATATCCACATTTCACACCAATGATATAGTCATAAGTCCAAATTATCACATGGGAACCCTGGCAACCGGCTACTGTGGCAGTTGCGGCGGACAGAAGCCCCTCCCAGTGTGGGGAACAAGAGCAGGGACGCAATCAGAGTTTCCTCTCCCACTCTCCCTTCTTTTTGCCCTCGTCTCCTTCCGCCTCCTCCTCCTCAAACAGCGGGCGTCTGAACGTCTCCAAAAAAATCAGGGATTCTTCTTGCTTTCAGTGGCGGGGCAGTGATGGATGGTATAATTTGGAGGTTTAATGACATTCATCCTGTTTCAACTCTTAAGTTTTGTTGAGAACTTTCCGAAAAAAATTCTTCTTGATCTGAAAAAGTTCTCTCCCTTCTAAGAAAGTATTTGCATGAAATCATAAAATATTTCTGGGGTCACCCTTGTCAATATTAATGGATGTTTTGTTAGTACTTCGATGAGGAACAAAACTTTGGAGCGCACGTTATGTGTGAGAAGAAAAGAAATATTTATACATAAATAACTGAATAGCCGTACCAGATTTTGCAACATTTTAATGCCACAATGTCATGAAATTCCTAGTGGTAGAAATATTTCTGAAGTATTCCAAAATTTAGGAATTAGATCTCTCGTAAATATATTAAATTTTCTTCAAAATTCTGGTCAAAACATGCAAGTTTTAATATTTTTGAAGAAATATTGTTCAAAAAACAGATACAAACGGAGGGCGAAAAGGTCAGACGAGCGAGTGGTAAAAGGAAAAGGGGATCAGATTAGTCGTAGCCAAAATACTCTAAGAATGTGGTGTCAAT